TCACGTGGATTCTCATTAATACTTGTTTGTGTTTGTTCTTTATTCAGCTAACACTTACGTCACTGCTGAGTTCAGTTCCTGCTGCTGGAAAGTGTAGTAGCTGTTCTGGGATATTATTGCTATTTGCACACAGTTAAAGTTAACACAAGGTAATATATAGTCTAAAGGATATTTTTTTCAATAGAAGTGTATGTCCTCTCAGACAGGGGTTGGTTGCTGTACCCTGGAGATTGAGCCCTGGGATGCCCTTGTTTTTTGCAGCAGCTGTGAAGCCAAAAACCTCTGTGGCTGTGAAAAATTGGCTATAATAAGCCTCCATTTCAATGGGAAGGTGCAGTTTAAAAAGCACGGTGTTATCTGTCCCATAGCTAAATGCACAACTCTCATTGATTCAGAAAGTTATGTGTAACTTTGTTTTTCTCACTTATAAATTTTAATTCTCTGACATCACTTGACTTGAGGAATTTGCTGCTATTATATTCTCAATATCCAGGGAATCATGTCATCTCCTCAAAGGTAAGGAGGAGCCCAAACAAGACAGATGCTTCTGTTATTCCCAAAGTAGCAAATTTTTTACCTTGCTGATTATTTCAAATACAATTTGCATCCAGATTGTAATAATTTTTTAAAAATTATCCTAGTTTAATAAGTGTCAGATTGATTTTGGGTCTTGAGCAGCATTTCAGTAGTATTTCACTTTCATAATTAGATGATACATGTATGTCTGTCTTTTCTGTCATTTCAGAATCCACAGAGTATTTAACTGAAAAAAAGTTAAATATCTTAAATCTAGTTGATTTGGTTGCTCATGTGCTCAAGACTTTATTTCAATTAGCTCCTGTCAGGAATCTTCACTCTGAACTTCTCTGCTAGCATTCACAGCCATGAGCACATCTGTGTCAATCTATGCAGTTTGCTGCAAATTCCAGTGGCAGCTACTGCTGAACTTTTTTATTGTAAAGGAACAGTGTATATATTCTGTTTTCTCTTCTGTTTTTTAGAAGAATTCAAAGTGATACTAAGTCCTGAGTATTCAAATAATAGAGAACAATAATGCGCATCTTTAGCATCAGTGGACAGATGCAGTAGGACAGGTTGAGTCTGTAGGTCTTTAAATGCCCCCTTTTGGGGGGTTTCCCTCCCACCCCCCAAAAATTATTGAGGGACTTACAAGCATATAATAGCTCACACATCAGGAGGTGGACTCCGAGTCTGAAGTGTGGAATCAGTGAAAAATCAGTTGCAGTTTCCAGCCAAGCAGGAGGCAGCAGTGCAGCCCACAGCTGCTCACAGTGCTCCTCTGTACACACGATATAAAGTGTATGTTATAGGCTGTTGTGTGTTTTATGTATATAACAGTTGTTTTAATGCTTGGATCCCATTTACTCTATGAAGAAATGCAGTCTTACACACTATGATTTGTGGTGTATATGGGGGAGCAGAAGGTGTGTTATGCTGTAAATCAGCAGTGTAACCAGTGTAACTCTGAGAGTTGCTGAGTTTAGAAGGTTTCAGATTTGTCTCTTGTAAATATAAAAACCATTTCCTCCTAGCTTTGTGTAACAGGATGTTGTTATTACATTCCAAGGCCGTTGTCAGGAAAGTTGTTACTATGTTTTGCAATTCGGTACACATAAGTTATCGCAAAGGGCTATTTCAGAAGTGCTACAAAGCATCTACCTGTGTATAGTATGGGAAAACAGGAATAAGATATGGCTGTGTTTGCTAGGGAAAGGCTGGCTACTGAGCTCTCTCTCAGCTCTGAATACAGCCCTCCTGCAAGCTTTTTAACCAAATCTTGTTTCCAAAGAAAAAAATATGTTTTTTTTAAAAAGAAGTTATGTCAAGTTATGATATCTGATTTCAACTTTTCTGCCCTTGTAAAAATATACCTTTGAGGCAATACCCAGCAAGGAACAGTGAGTTTTCATAGCATTTTGATTTTCTTTGCTAGCAACAAAAAATCCCTTCATAAGCAGGCTTGCCTAAAAAGGCACATGATCCTGAAAGTTTTCTGCTTGGGTGACTACGACTGTGCAGAAATTGAAAGGAGGAGGAAAAAAGGAGTGCCTCCAGCTTGTATAAGAAATGAACCTTTGCCCAATCACTTTTGTCTGTGAATAAGGTAACTTTTTGTGTGTGTGAAATTTGAAAGCAATAAGGTATGTGGGTCCTTTCTCTGTATTGGTTCTCAAGAGTCGATCGCAGGGTTTTTCTTTTGGAGCCAGCCTGACGTTGTGAGATAAAGCAGCTCAGGGAAAAAAATGTTCTCAAGCAGATGCCTTTAAGAGACAGAAATCATGAATTTGTTGAATTGCAACCACTCTGGGGGTGGCTACAATGACTTTTTGACAGTGACAGTAACTCTGCCGTGTCTTTTCGAGCCCTTCTTTGGCCCATTCACTCTGGAAAGCTGCTTAAGCGCACTTAAGCGCATTAGCATTTGGATGCTCGGGGACCGTATTGACCCTCATTTGGAAAGTTTAAATGAGTGAAAGATGGAGCGATTTGTTAGAGCTTTTGAAACCAGCTTTAGAGAGCTGCGGGTTTTCCGCTCTGGTTTGTTCGGGTGCTTGTTCTAATCTGGTGTGCTGTTTGAAGGGACCAGACTGATTTGTGACACATGAGCCCAAAGCCTCTTTTTTTGGGCTTGACCCGATTATCTGATCTGTGCTCTGAATTTCAATCACCCGCGTGGAGGGAGCGAGGTTGGGAATGGCTCGCTGCTGGATTACCTCACTAGCTCCTATGGGCACAGATGGCAAAACGGCCGCTGCGTGTCTGAGCAGACAAAGGGATCATCCCCCTGCTTGGCTGCGAGGGAACAGGTAGGAGGTCTGTGCTAAAAAGTAAAAGGTCCCGGAGGTGCAGCTCCCACAAGGAGTCCAGCATGCCTCTCCTCCTGCAGGCAGGGTGGCGTTGAACCAGCGCGTTACCTCTCTTCTCCCAAGGCTTCAGAAAACCACCCTGAAGTCCTGCAGATCACATGAAGCACTCGCAGAGCAGCCCGTGCCTGTGCCTGTGGGACCAGTGCTCCTTGTGCCAGTGAAACCCGTGATTGCACACACCTTGCAGCTGTTCTGGTACTTGAGTGTGCTGTGTTCTAGAGTAAACCCAGAGTCAGATGGACGTGGCACTGCTTTTGGGGACGGAGGAAACAGTCAGGAAAAGTTTGTCAGAAATGGACATCATTTTTTCAGTGAGATGGGGAATCAACACCTGTTTAATTCACAAACTTGTAAGAAAAACAACAAGATTTGTGGGTTTTTACCAAACCCCATTCAAGTTACTTGTTAAAAATGAAAGCACCCAGTTTGCTGCTTTTTATTTGTACTGTGCCAATAAGCAAGGGCCTTCATCAAGGATCAAATTTTTATCAAATGGGAGCAAAATGTCCATTGGCAGATTGTTCCCATTCTGGCACTGAGATCCTCAGCTGAGATCTTAATTATTTGGAAGCAGATGGATTTCTGTTTAAATACATGTTTGGCATGAATTCCTGCCTTCAGAAGAAGGCGAGAATGGGGAAAGGAGAAGTGAGCTGTAGTCCATGGTGTTGTGTCTGGTATACACTGCACTTCTGATAATGAATCCAAATATAAGTATTTCTGTCTGTGAGAGATAGAAGCATGTGGTAGGATGTGAAAGTCTGTACCACAGAACATAAAGTCTATACCACAGAACGTATTTATTTTACAAATTAACATTATGCAAAATGAAAACCTTTTGTCTGGTTATTCTGAAAAGGAATGGGGTGAGCACCTCATTCCTTGTTACCTCTTTACCTCGCTACTTCTCCTTGACTCAGTTACTTTCTTTAACAGAAAATGCTTTTCTTAACAACCTCTAGCAAAATAATTCAGGAAGGTCTTTGCCAGTATCCGTATCCACGTCTGTGCACAGATCCTGTCAGCAGCATGTGCCTCAGCAGCAGCCATGGATGCTGAGTTGCCTCCCAGGTGTGGGGACACATTTGTCTTTGAACAGCGCCCAGTTTGAACAATTTCCTCAGTTCTGCTTTCTGACTTTCCTTGTGGTTCCCAGCAGCCAGGCAGAGGGGCACGGGTGGCTCTGCACAACAGCCAGCGGTTTTGCCCAGGCAGGGAGGCTGCAGAGCACTTCACAAAATGTGCCTGGTTAAGATGGAGATGCCTCCGTTTCAAAGCACTTAACATTCTTAAAGCTTCGCTAGCTGCTGTGCTAAAAGTTCTAGATTTTTACCTGTTGCCATGCGGTGGAGCCAACGCTTTGAGCAGCCCATTTCATGTTATTCCCCACTACCTGTGGGTCCCAGCCAGGCCAGTGGCCAATGGATCAAGGCCCAACACTTTTGTGGAAGTTCATACTATGCCTGATATAAAGTTGTTCATCTGTGTTCATCTATGTTCATCTGTGCCTGATAAAATGTTGGTTCATAACATGTTTTAGGCACCCAGTCCTCAAAATATCTAGGGACATGATGTCTCTTATTTAAAAGAGGGAAATTGCAATGCAAAGTAAATTGTGAAAATTGCTGTCAGATTTGTGTAAGCATTTCTTGGACTTGCAAAGTGTACTTGTAACATGAATTTATAGGCAGATGTTTTTGCAAACAAGGGTTAACTCACAGAAGTGTAGTGTCAATGTCATTTTCAGCTCTTAAGAATCAGCACAAAATCTGGTCATTATCTGTAAGCAGTGGTTTGGAGGATGTTTGCAAGTAATGTGTGATACAGCATACAGTGATACCTGTGAAAGAACCTGTCTACATGGTACAAGCTGAATGACTATTTGCCTTTCCTGATTGATATTTTCTTCATATTGCCTGTTTCTCTTCAAGTGGTAATTCAAGTCCATCATAAGTGGAAGTGACTTAAATTAGCAATGCTTTGTATTTTGACCTACAGCAAATTATATTTGATGGGGGGCATTGAAGATACATCTCTTGATAATGTTTGGTTAAATCTGGTCTTCTGTTGCATATAAGCTCATTTCCCTTTCTCCCCTTATGTTTTTCTTAGACACTGTGTGCAAAGGCCACAATGCAGACCATCCGGGCAGCTGACACAAATGAAGTAGTCAAGCTAATATTTCGTGAATCTGATAATGACCGAAAGGTAAACAACTTAATGCCCTTGGCACCCCTGTGTAAATAGAAACGGTGTTGAATGTTCATTTTCTTTTCTGCAAAGCATGAATATAGTTGTTCCAAACTGATAATGTAAAGGGAGGGGAGGATATAGATTGTCACACCTAATGCTCAGTTAATTGGATCTGTTTAAGTGATTGCAAGCCAAGCAAATGGGCAAGCTGACAAGGGGCTTTGGACATGTGGAAATGTGTGGTTTTAAAGGGCTGCGTGTCTCTGAAAGGGTCACTGCCAGCAGCTGGGTGTTGAGTTGCTGAGTCCAAGAGCTTTGCTGACCTTTCTCCCTATTTTTTTATTTAGGTTATGCTGCAATTAGAAAAGAAGCTCTTTGACTATTTCAATCAAGACGTATTTAGAGACAACAATGGCACTGCGGTAAGTTCATTGCTAAACTCATTCAAAGGAGTAAGTTGGGAGCTCACATACAAATTGCATTTCTCTAACCAGCCCTTTATCCTTATCACCCCTCCTGTCTGCAGAATGAGAAGAGATAATTCAGCCACACAATAACTGCTCCAGATTTCCTCACCACTTAGCCAGTTATTTTGTGTACAGATTCCTAACTTTGGCATGTTTACCTTCTTTTTTATACAAATATATTGTAAATTAAATGTACACAACAATTCACTTTTCTTGTCTGTCCTCTAGTCTGCATTTCTTCAAGCATCCTGTTTTTCTTCCTAGCTCCTCATTGTGCATCACACAGTAACTTAGGAAAAGCCCTTAAATGCAAAGCCCATCTGAAAATACCTGGGTCTTCTAAGTCTGCAAAAATATACTAGAAACACAAGAGTAAGTAGAATAGCAATCTCAAGCTCTGCAGCAGACTGTCACTATTTGGACAAGCATGCAGGGCTTCCCAAGAGGATTAGAGGACACTAACCCTCTGATTTGTAATAAGGAATCTGATTTTTATGTGGAGAGGGGCATCGTACTTTCTTTAATGTGATTTTGTTTCAAATGGTAGCCACTTCATTTTGGAAAAGCTGTGTATCACTGCTTGCAGCTTTCTCCATTTCATCCAGGGTTCCTAAGGGTTATGTATCCAAGGGAAGACAGAGAGGGCCCTCGTCCCCAGCTCCCAGTTTAGCTGCACTCTGAACCAGTCACGCACTGTGCCCACTCACAGGGCACATTGCTGCTTGGTGCCCAGGGATGGGTTGAGCAGAGGATCCCTGCTTCTCCACCTCTCTCCTCTTTTCCCCTGCCTACAGCTCATTCTCTCACTGCTCACAGAGAGCCAGGCTGTTGGAGGGCTGTCTGCAGGGCTCTAGGATATGGAGGGCAGCTGAAGCCCTGATGCCCTCTCTGATTTTAAGTTGGCTTCACCTGAGAGATTGATTCCATGTGAGAATCTGAGATTTCACTCATTTGTTGAGGTCAGAAGAGTTTGGTGAGTGAGACCCATGAGGGGTGAAGATCTGATTCCCCTTCTGGTCTTTGCTGCTGTCCCACAGCGTGGCTCGTGTGGCCTGTGTGCTCACTCCGAGAGGTACCTCTGTGGTACCTTCAAATGCAGTTTGGGGTTCTTGGGTTTCAATTTACAAGGTGAATGCATCCTCGGGAAATGCCTAATGTTTCTTTCACTGATGTTTTGCAGTTTTGGGGACATTTAATTCAAAGCAGTAAGTCTCCTCCCAGTTCCTTTTCCCATATTAATCACATTCCTGTCTCAAATTTTTCCTCTGTGTATATAATTATTATAACTTTTCCAGATTTTTTTAAACAGCTCAAGTATTTGTCATTTGTGTTTTCCCCCAGTGCATTCCTGAAGCTGTGTAAAGCTGTTCTTGGTGCTTGTTTGGGTTGTCCTGTGGTATTTTGGATGGCTGCTGCTTGATTTGCATACAGGGCTGTGGGGTGTGAAGGTACAGGCAGAATCCCACTTAAACATATTCCATTTCAAAATCAGTAGTCATTTCTTTCATGCATCAAGAAGTGGGAAATCTTCCAGATCAAACATGGAAGAAAGAGATAAACAATATAATGAGCCATTGGAGATAATCTAATCTTCATGGTCTAGTTAAACACGCAGCACCATGATCACTAAAAACAAACTACCTATCTAAAACGATAAATGTCTCTGTGCCGAATTCAACCCAAAAAATCCATCGCATCCTTCATCAACCGCCGGTCTTGTACCGGCCTGACAGAAATTTAATTCAAGCTGGCTCCTGAAAATAATTATTGTATTTTAAGAGTAGTAATCATTGGTCGGGACATGATTGAATGTGTCCATGCCTATTGACTTTTTCTATGATTTATAGCTTTGTGCAGTCGATATTCCCATCGAAATTGTATAATTAATTATAAGTGGGGCTGTCAGGTCTGCAGGATGGAGTGCCCTGATGAGTATTTGGGAAGATTAAATTTTCCTTAGCTGTACCAATGCAAGGCTTGGGAATTTTCACAGCACTGGGGCTGTTGGATAAAGATGTTTTCTGTGTGTTTAGCAACTGCTTTAGCTCAAAATCCATTGATTTTTCAGAGGGTATTTTTTTATCAGTGCTGTGTCTCTTCAGTAACATTGGAATGTATATGGATGTGACAAGGCCTGACAAATATTTATTATCAACAGGCTACTTTTTCATTGTCCATACACAGTTATTCTTTCCTTTTTACGTTGTAATCAACAAAAAGAATCATAATATATATTTATAAAAATGATTATTTTTTATGAAAAATCTGATACAGATACAAATCACCTATTTAACAGAAATTCAGTTTGAAATGCATACTGTAATCTGTCGCGTCTAATTTTCCCAAACTAATCTGTAGCTTATTCAGACTTAGCTGTAGCTTATTCCAAAGTTGGCTTAGCAATTACCTATATTGATTACCCCAGAGTACAATGATTGTTCTGTATCGTTGTGTTTCAGAAAGAAACACCCAGATTTAACCAGTTGTGTGGTGATAGGAAAAAAGATAAAGCCTATTTGCAAACGAACTGTTTTATTATTTAATTCTTATGTTCTGAATTGTCCATTGGAGTTGTGGTCCATCCAACAGACCAGGGTGTGAGTCCTGTGGGTGTGTGGGGAGGGTGTTGCAGGGAGCACTGAGCGACGTGGGCAGGAGGAGCTGCAGCGTGCAGAGTTCCACTTTGGCATCACACAGGTCACAGTTAGGTTTTGTTTTTCAGTTAGCAAAAGCTCAGCATTTCTCACCTGGGTGGTAGGACACAGCCAGGCTGTGCTGATTGGTTCCATGGTGTCATCCTGCTCTGGGGGCTTGTCCACGAGTGATGGAAAAGCACAAATGAGGCTTCCCATTTTGGAGTGGTGGACAATGAGGGTTCTCACACCTTCCCAGAGGCAGCAGCCCCTGACCAGGAGCCACCACCATGCCCCCATCACTCCTCTGTGCCCTGCTCCTCTTCTGCCCAGCAGGTGCAGAGAGTGCCCTGGAGCCCTGCACGGATTTCCTGTGGGCTCTGAGATCACTCTGGCTCACCAGCATGTCACTCACACAAAACACAGTTGTACCTTTGGATTTTCAGCCCTTAAGTGATAAAAATCAGCCGTGCTGGTGCTTCCAGAAGAGGAGCAGGGGGTTCTTGAATAAGCCTACACTTTTACCAGATATTTGGAGATGCTTTAATTGTTTGTGATAGATCAGGCTATAAGTGAGTCTTTTTTTCAAAAGTAGTTCTCTGTTAATTTCAAAACAATCAAAAGAAAAGAAAGCCAAGAGTAATTATGTAATGAAAAAATATAATCACGTTATTGACTTATACCAAAGAACCACAAACTAAATTGTATTTCTTCAGTAGTCAATTAAATAAATCTGTAGTAAGAATGTAAAAACCTGTAATGACTACAGAGGAACGATTTAATCATCAGGAATCATTTTATAATCTTTAACTGCAATTAGAAGTGAGGAATGGTACCTACATCCCTGTCTTTCCTATGATCTGTATTAAAGAATCAATCCAGGTAGAAGCTAATGCACTGTCCTTAGGATTTGGACCACAACTGTGTAGCAAAAGTGATCAGTGAATTAATTGTCTTTAGAGTGGAACCTGATGATATTCCTGCTAAAATCACGATCTCTTTTTTCTGTTGATCTTTGTGGAAGCTGGTGGCTAGCAGTGAAGCTGTGCTTGCTCTGGTGGTCCTGCATCCTGCATCCCGCTGCCCCTGGGTCCTGCTGCCCCAGGCCCACAGAAACAGAGCCCCTGTCCCTCTGTCATACCTGAGGGTATGATGTCATAAGCATCATACCTGATGATATTCCTGCTGAAATCATGATCTCTTTTTTCTCTGATCTTCTGATCTCTGCCCCAGGCCCACAGAAACAGAGCCCGTGTCCCTCTGTGGTTTGGGCTGCTTGGGGGGCAGAAGGATTAGCCCAAGGGTGCTGCTGCATGCAGCTCCAGGATCACCAGAGGGTTCAGAGGGCCCTGGTGGGGCACCAGCGTTCATTCCAAACCAGAGCCAGGAGTGTTATGCTGAAAAGCCCAGTGATTCCAAGCCTGGATTTTTATGGAATGGAAGTGATTCTATTTCTTATTTTAATTGTGCAGCAGCTCTCCTGGTGCAGAGGACAAACAGTGAACCTTATGGAGATTATGTTCTGACTCGGTTTCCCTTCACAGAATAAATTTCCTTTATTCTGTGTCTGTTCAGCCTTAAGAGAAAATTATAATGTGCTCTAAGTGCAGATTGAGTTAAAGGTCTTGTTTTCCCTCTGAGAAGTAGTGATTTAAGGTGATGTGTTATCATGCTAGTTAACTTAGAGATGTTATTGCAAACAGTACAGGCAAACATACTTTTAAATTTTAAGCAATATATTTTGGGGGGGGGGGTATTGCGTGTATTCCCAGGAAATCCTGAAATGATACACAAATTGAGCAGAAATATATAGTCCACAAGGGACCTCTATTAAGATTTTTGTGAGAATATGTATGCTTATGAAGATTAAGGATCTGGCGTCACTGAAAATGTATTAATCAACAGACAAGATATAGCACAATGCACTCTTCCCAATGGCCTTGGCTCTGACCCTTTTAAAGATAATGGGAATACTGTCCACTAGGAACTAGATTAGGACGATCAAGTGCATTTCATCAGGGTATGACTTGAACCATGATCCCAGGGGTGAAAAGGCAGAGGTTTATCCACTGAGCCAACCAGCCCCTGTCCAGATAAAATCTTGAATATGATGTATAAGGGCAAATTAGGATAGAGAAAGGAAATTGATTGCTTAGGACCATTGCTTCCTCAGACTAGTCATAAGGAAATCCTGCCTATCCTGAAACTGCTTCTTTTATTTAACATCATCTTCTGAGATGCCTGATTTTCATAAAATATAAATAGGAAAATGGCCTCATGCTCTGTATCTTTATTCAAAAGCAGCATTCTTGTGTTTAGAAT